GGGGGGGGGGGGTAGAGGAGGGGAGGAGCCGTCCAGAGAGTGACTGGGGGAGGGAAGCCCCCACGCCCCTCCCGGATGGTGGTGACTAGCAGTCTTGGCTAAACCCGAAGGGGCCTCCTTCTCCTCGGGCAACTAGGAGAAGCCTCTGCCCCGCCCTGTTCAGCCCAGCCTCTCTCTCTCTGGGGTCAGAGCCCGGGCAGGGGCGGGGAGGGGGTATGAGTTACAGGATTTGGGGGGGATGGGGTTTCTCTACCTCAGCTTCGCAAACTCTAGCGGGCTGTTCTGAAGGGCCTAGCCCTTGTTCTTCTAGGAGCGAGAGCAGCAGAGTAAACGTCTTCCCCTCTCGGGTTGCCGGGTCTGAAGGGGGGCGCAGCTGTCTCAGGTCCCCGGGGCCTCTTGCCTCTTCCCTCGTGCCTGGCGGGCCTGGCCCGCGTGGACACCCGCGAACCTCTGCGCCCTCCCCTGACCTGCCGGTCTGCGTGTCCCCAGCCCGAAGTCTGAGAAAGACCAGAGGCACTTACTGTTCTGCATGCTGGCGCTGGCTGGGGGCCGCGGGATCCCACGGGGCTCGAAAATGGGGCTCTGTTAGCAAGGATATAGGCGTTAATCCAGGGCCAGCGCCAGGTAGGCCCTACCTCCCGACAGAGGACGACCTGGAACCGGGACAGGAGAATGCCCCTTCTTGAGGAAATGATCCACTCAATCGCTTGGGGCCATCAGAGGGGCATCCACCTCTGCCCTACAGTGTATACAAAATCTACCCTCTGGACTACAAATAAAATACTCCAATATCCCCAAGCTGTTTTCCCCAAACCCCTTAGTAGCTAACTCTTTAATCAGGAGAAACAACCCAACTTTGATTTTTTTTTTTCTTCCACGTGAACAACAATGAACAAGTATTCTGACTTTTTTGGGGTTTGGAACCCAAAGCAGCCCCCAGAACTTGCCTGAAATCTGGGAAGTCTGTCCACTCTTACAATAAAAGGTCTCACACATCTGCGCGCCCCTAGTTAAAGTCTTCCCCCTAAGACAAAACAAAAGGAGAGAAAGGTATGTCAAGCTGTGGCTCAAAAGCACAGGCCCATGGGCTCTCAGAGTCACACTCCCAGAAAAACAAAACAAAACAAAACAAAACAAAACGTGCATCTAGGGCTCAAACTACCATAGAACCCTAAATCTCAGAGTCACAACAACATTTCCAGCAGCCTGTCATGCAGAAGTCCCCACCTTTTAAAAGTAGCTGCTCTGGCCTGGCTTGGGAGAATTGGAGAATCTGACAAGTCGGGGAACCATTTTGCAAAAATATCAAGAACCAGTTAAAGGGAAAGGGGAGCACCAGAGAAACAGTGGCATTAGGAATCGAGGCCAAAGACTAATACCTGAAGTTCAGAGGTGAGGGGAAGGGGGAATCTCAGAACTTCAGGGTGCTTTTGGGTGCAGACTAGGGAAGATCAGGGCTGCAGAGCCCATGCTCCTTCCTTAAGGAACTTCACCATCCTAGTGGCTCCAAGGCTCCCAGATCCCAACTCTGGTTACCCCTTCATCTTCCACTCTCTCCCTCAAAGCTTCCCGGTCAGGTCCCCACTCCACCCTCCTCCCAGCCTTTCTGGGACTTTGAAAGTAGCAAGCCCAACTTTTCCCCCCCAAACCTCACTTATTGTGATTAACTTCTCTTTTGGTGTTTAGATCTTCCCCCTTTTACTGTACTGTGACACACGCTGTCTACCTCGCCTCACTGCTTTAAAAAGTACGAACAGGAGGGGGTGAGCGTGGTCGACAAAGCCTACAGGCAGCGAACAATGGCTTCTATTCTCCAGCTCTCCCCAAACCCAAAGAGCAAAACTGAGTCTCCCTAACCAGCAACACAGCTTCCAACCAAATGTACCAACAACCCACCAACCCACAAAAGGGAACAGAGGGACACTTCTAGCTTTGTAAGTCCTGACCCAGTGCGGGTCCCCCAAGGTTCGCCCTCCACCACCCCCTCCCTGCCTTACCCTAAGAAGAAGGTGGGGGGGGGGAGAAAATAGAAAAGTAATTTCTTGTTATAAATATCTGGAGGTAATTGTGCTACTGGTGTGAGTTGTTAGGGGCTGTAAAAAGATACAACGGCACCGTGGGGAGCTCAATTGGGAAGAGAGAGTTACAATAAAGAACCTATTCAAGAGGTTTGCAGGAAAAAAAAAAGAAGTAAAATAATTAAATAGTCACAGCATTATTTCTCCCTGTTTAAAGAAAAAAAACTAAAATACTCATTCTGTTTTCTGCTTTCTTATTGTGATTATTAATTTTGCCTGCCTACAAGCAAAGAATTCCAAGAAGCACATTTTTTCTCTTCAAGGCCATTCATGGTCTAATTTATTAACTAGCTGGGAGGCAGCTTAAATCCATAAAAATAAACTTAAGAGGAGGAATTTACCCAGCTTCTGAATGTGGTCTGGTAAAATTGGAGAGAGGAGAGGGTTACCTAGTTACCTCTAGCTGGGTTGGCTCCCAGGGCCTTCCTCCTGTCTCTCAGTCCCCACAGCCATAGTCAGATCTAGGACAGGCAGGAGAAACCCCAACTTCTTGAAGAATGTGCTCCCCCTCAAAGTGGGACTCCGAAACTGCAGAATAGTAGCAGGCAGGGAGAGGGGAGGTGGGCTTCTCCTAGAAGGGGTAAAACTTCCCGAATTCCTCTCTATAACCCACACTGTACTCAACCACAACTGAATGCCCCCCTCCTGGCCCATACATCCTTGAAGCCATTAAAAAAAAAAAAAATTCACTAGCTGATTCCAGAGAGGCCCAGCCGATTAGTTTTTGAAGCAACTGGGAAGGTGGGAGCATCTCAAGTTCCAGTTCTGCTCCATTCCCACGTCTATCTCAGCTAAGAAGCTACTTAATTACTTAAGTAATCGCTAACATTTAGTGCAAAAGCGACCGGGGAAGCTGGCGACACTGACACCCGGAAGCAGTGGTGGCTAGAGAGGCTAGAACCCTAGTTGCAGCCAGTGTCCCCCAGCTCAGCCCTAGGCTTTCTACAGCCCTAACCTAGTCAGAGACCCACTGGGGGGGG